GTACTGCATTTGCTGTAATGTTATGACGTGGTTAACGTGTTTTCTTACTGAATCTTTTATTTACTTTTATTACTTATTGAGTTGGCGTACTCACATTACTCCCTGCACCTTGTGTGCAGATTCAGGTATTTCTGAACCCGGTAGCGGGTGTTGATTACTCAGTGACAGAGTCATCGGAGTTAGTAAGGTAGCTGCCCGACGTTCGCAGCCTTGCTCTTCTTCCTCTTTCTTCCTTAGATTGTTTTTAGTATATTTTCAGACTCCTCGTTGTATTCGGACCTTAGTAGATGCTCGTGGCTTGTGACACCCCGATGTTGGGCTTCTGTATTTATTCTACACTGTTCATTTAGATTTACATCATGATATTATTGATTAATTAATGGTATAAAAATGACTTTTATTGAATAATGGTTGATTCAGAAATTGTGTCGGCTGACCTAGTTTCATGATAGATGCCATCATGACCTGGTCGGATTTTGGGTCGTGACAGTCATGGCTTCTTGACCAGCGAGCAAATTTTCGAACTCCACAAGTGATGGTTGATTTGGCCATCCTTGTACTGCAACAACAAAACCTCTATATTCAGGCCTCAAAGCATGGATAAATATTCTTTTTGTCCCTATTTCCCTAATTGGAGCCTTTGAATCTAAATCTGAAATTTCACAACATATAAACTTTATTTTATGGAAGTACTAGGCAATTGTCATATCACGTTGAGCTATTGATAAAAGCTCATTCTCTAAAAGATGCAGCCTTGCGTCATTCTTCTTTAAGAAAAGTGCAGCAAGTGTGTCCCATGTTTCTTTTGGTGTTTTAGCATCATGGACATGCTCCAACACATCTTATTCGATTGTTGTTTTGAGAGCAAACATTGCTTTGCCTGCTTTGATCTTCCACTTCCGCAAGGTTCCATTCCCATCCTCCGCCTCTAGTTATGTAACTTCACTTCCGTTGACCACTTCCCAAAGATCTTGGCCCTACATATAAGATATCATACATGTTGCCCATGTATTGTAATTCTGATTAGGGGTATACATGAGGTAGTTTGGTTCGGTTTTTTATTAAACCAAAATCAAACCAATTATGTCGGTTTACTAAATTTAAAATCAAATCAAACCAACATATACTCGATTTTTTCTGTTTCGATTTTTTCTGTTTCCTTGGTTTTTCAGTTTATTTTCGGTTTTCCTTTTTAGTAATATTATGCTTGAAAAGAGATCAAATAATCACCAATTGTCCGCATAATTACTATTCATTAAAATAATTTACGAGGAATAGCAACAGCCCATATGAATCATAATTCCAAGACCTTCCATAATAGAAAATGACAACAAACATGTGATAAACCAAAAGCTGAAGTCTACAACCCAACTTACATCCCACAAAAATTATTAAGTTAGTTAAAGCTGGCTAAGACAAAAGTTAGAAAGAAGCAGCAAGCAGCCAAGCACCATGAATGTTCTGAACTAATCAATACTCAAAGCTTCACCTGGACATTCTGAAAAGAAAAAAAAAATAATTACATGTTAAACAATATAAAGATAGAATCAAATTCATTATGAATTAAATATATAAAATTACCTTCTTCAACTTGCTCAATTTTCTTAATTTCTTCTAGATAATCTTGAAGCTTGCATTCTTTAGGTGACTTTATCCATTGTTGAGTGCAAATAAGAGCTTCTACTCTCTTTGGTGATAAAGAACTTCGGTATGAATCGAGAATTCGACCACCGGTACTAAAGCTGACTCAGATGCAACAGTAGAAATAGGAATTGAAAGAACATCCCTTGCCATTTTTGAAAGAATTGGATAATTGTTAGATGAAGCTTTCCACCAAGCCAAGATATTTAAATCCTTGGTCTTCTCCACATTATTCGTCAAGTATTTCTCAAGCTCAGATTTTTTCTCAACATCTCCCTCGTCTTCCAAATGTTTCTCCCAGCGAGATAGCAAAATATCACCAACTTCACTCACCATACTAGTTTCACCTCTAGAATTGTCATTAGAAGATTTAAAAAAAGAATAATTGTAACGATCATACAAACGAGTTAAATCACCTGTCACCTGATCTGATTTCAATTTTCCCACCAAAGGATTGTATGATATACTAAAAATGAAGTTCACATACTTCATTTTATATCTGGGACCTAACACAACAGCAATGAACAATAACATGTTCAAATTTTCAAACTTACCCCTGTATTTATCAAACTTTCCTTTCATCTTGTTAGCCATATCAATCAAAATAAGATCTTCACTGTAAGAATACTTTATAATAGCATTTCGAACATTAAAAAATTCATGGAAGAATACATTCGAAGTAACATACAAGCTTCCTAAAAATTTTAAAGTTGTCTGGTAAAAAATATTAAGGAACATGACAAAAACTTTCACAATCTTCCAAATCATCAGCGGATGGATGTCCTTTCGTTACCTCTCGACAATACTTTTGGTACTTATGGTCATCCACGCGCATTCTTGTAAAGGCATTTTCAAATTTCACAACTGTATCTAACATTGTATATATAGAATTCCACCTAGTCTCAACATCAAAACTCAAAAGATCATGATTGTCTATCTTAAGTTTCTCAACATGTGACTTGAAAAAAGTAAACCTTGAAGAGGAAGACTTGACATATTTTACAGCATTTCTAATACGAGAAATGGGCTCAATTTTGTTCATCTAACCCATCTTTTACAATCAAGTTCAAAATATGTGCATTACATCTAACATGTAAAAACTCATTTCCCAATACTACTCCTTTCCGGACATCAATGCGTGCCTTCAAATGCTTAATAGCAACATCATTCGCACTTGCATTATCTAGTGTCACTGTAAACAACTTATCAATACCCCACTCTAACAAACAAGCTTCAATACCCTTAGCAATAGTCTCTCCCTTGTGATCTGGTGTTTGAAAAAAGTTAAGTATCTTCTTTTGTATACTCCATTCATCATCAATCCAGTGGGCGGTGACAACCATATAAGTAAACTTTTGGAGTGATGACCATGTATCACTAGTAAGACATACATGTTGGTTCTTAATAAGCTTTTTAAGTTTTTCTTTCTCCTCTTGATAAATCTTCAAACAATCTCTAGCCACAGTTACACGAGAAGGTAATTCAAAATTAGGCAAAGCCTTAGACATTAACTTTTAAATCCCTCTCCCTCAACAACTTTAAATGGCTACTCGTCAATAATAACAAATTCGGCAATCACCCTCCTAATATCCTCTACATTATACATCACCCTTTCAGTAGAACTTTTACCAGATTCTTGTCCCCCTTCTTGGATAGGTGTAAGTTTCAATGTAGATTGCTTCCTATCAATAAATCTAAAAGGAGATTTAAGACACATGAAATTTAAATGATTCTACAAAGTAGAAGTTCCATTAGTCTTGGTCTCGGAAACAAAGTGTTTTACACAATAATTGCATTTTGCTCTACGTTTGCCTCCTTTATCAATAAATTTTGTAAAGTGATTCCAAATCTCAGATGTTTCTCTTCCAGTATTACCAGGCTTAGAATCGGAATCTGAAGGATCTGTCCTTTTTTGCTTTTTAGGAGGAGTGCGTGTATGAGAAGTGTTTTTACTTTTTTTTTGAGGTGCCACCAACACAATTGGAGGATCATTGACAATCATCTCCACATCTATTCCAGTGGTATTTTCCATCTAGAAAGAGAGTCTCTATAGAAAATAAAACTTTCTAATTATTAACTGAAATTTAAAGAAAAATAATCGAGAAAAAAAGAAGTTCGGAAGCTTCTCAAATCTAAGGGGATAAAATAACATAATTAGTTTAATATAATACTTTAGCTTACCAAAGGAGCTTCCTGCTTTGCAATTCTTGTTAAGAAGCTCCAGTGAAGTGGATGGAAGAGTTTTCACTATTTGGGGTTCTTTGACTTTGGAGTTGGAAGATGGGAAAGATACGGAAGAATGAAGATAAGGAATGACCTAATTTATTGTCTTTTTGTCTTATTGAGTTTTAATTTGGATTGTGTAGATAGAATCTACTAAGTGGATAGTAATTTTACAAGCCCACAAAGAAATAATACTTTTATCTCAAGACATTGAAAATTATAAAATAGTTAAGAAAATACTTACAAATTAGATTTTAATTATAATTTTATGTATAATTTTTTTAATATATATATATNACCACAAATCGGGTTTTTTCTTTGGTTTGACTTGGTTCGTCGGTTCGGTTTGGCTTGACGGTTTGGCCTGTACACCCCTAATTCTGATTATTGAGCTTTTTGATTCTGCTAACTACTTGAAGAGTCATAGTCATTGTGCTAGCTCTGATACCAAATGAAGAATCAAAACAAAATTGCAAGCTCAATATTAGAAAGAACAACTAGAAGTAGAATTGAAATTTTTGTGGAAGAAAATAGTTGGATAGTTTATTCAATTCACTGATGGCCTTATACAGGCTTACAAATTAGCTTGAATCTATTATCCCACTAAAAAAAACTCTCCTAAACTCTAGGAAAAGATATCTGCAACTCAAGAAACTAGAAAAAATATCGGTAACTAATAATAACAAAATATCAACTTAAAGCTAAAAAACTAGCTATACCGCAAACTTGGTCAATATTAAATGGGACTGATATTGTACAACTTTAACATAATGTGTTGGCGTTCCAACATAATATGTTCGAAGTTTATACGCATGAGCTTCATAATCAGGCATGTTATGTTGAAACTTTCCTTGTTTTAGCTATTGTATTTTTGTTCAGATTTTATTTTCGCATAAAATAAATATTATTTTTACTGATTTTGTAAACGTCGGTTGTTTCTTGATTACCAATCCAAAAACTAGCGAGTCCATGCTATTTTCACAAATTTCCAGTATTTACTGAAGTCCTGGTCTGAATCTAATTCATACCTTTTCTCTATAGAGCCCAATGATTGGCCCATGAATTGTTGGGCTAATACCTTGGTCCATTTAAGTTAATTGACCGCAAACATTCTCCTAATTCAGTTTGTCATATTTTATAAGTAACCAATAGAAAGCTCGAGCAGAGAGCACAACCATGGCGATGGCTGAGGAACAAAAGAAACGAACAATGGAGGCATTAGAGCGAAGATTTGCTCAAGCCAAAGCTGAGCTTGAGGTACAGCAGCACAAGAACAAGAAAATCTCAGTTGCTACAACAACAACAACTCCTGTTGAGAAAAACGGTGGACTTGCTCGCCAGGGCATCAATTCTTCGCCTTCGCCCTTCAAATCAAAGGCAAATTCCTCTTCTATATCATCCAAAAAAGGTTTCATCTTTTTACCTTTCCTCTTTGTTTCACTGCTTTTTGTTTTAAAAAATTATCAATCAACTATTCCTCAATTTCAAATTACTGGGGAAATCCTCCATAGTCGTAGTTCGCTGTTCCAATTTAATAGGCAGTATTGCCATTTGATGATTCTAACGGTTTTTGATTTGACTACGACTTTTTTTTTTCCAAAGATTGTCTTAGATATTGAGATAGATGTGTAGGCATACTAGGTTGGATAGAAATAGGAATGAAAGTTATTTGAGACAAGGTGGAAGTGGCCCATGTGGAGGCAAAGATGCATGAGCCAAGGTTGAGATGGTTCGGGCACGTTAAGAGGAGAAGCGCAGATGCCCATGTCAGGAGATGTGAGAGGCTAGCCTTAGGAGGCAAGAGGAGGGGTAGAGGTAGGCCAAAGAAGGGGAGAGGTGATCAGGCAGGACATGACACTACTTGAGCTAACCGAGGACAAGACTCTAGATAGAAAGGTGTGGAGGTTGAAGATTAGGGTAGAAAGTTAGTAGGTAGTCGTGCATCTCCCTTTGTCTTCTCTAGCTTGATAGTATTAGCGCTAGTACGATACCCTTTTTTCCTTAGTTTGTTATATTCACATGTCTCGTTTCGTTGTTACTTACCATTGGTAATTCTGTAGTTTGCTAGCAGTACTTCGTTCATATTCTCGTTTACTGCCTTGGAATTAGTTTTATGTTATCTTGCTACTACTTGTTATCAGTACCCCTTTCATATTATCTGTTGCTATCTCCGATCTAGTTTTCTAATTATTGTTTTGCTATTGCTTGCTACCAGGGCTTCTATCACCTTATTTAGCCGAGGGTCTATCGGAAACAGTCTCTCTACCCTTCCAGGGTAGGGGTAAGGCTGCGTAAATCCTACCCTCCCCAGACCCCCACTTGTGGGACCACACTGGGTTGTTGTTGTTGTTGTTGTTGTCTTAGATATTGTGATTTATAGTTTTTTATCTTCTAAAGTTGTTTATTTAAGTTTGTTTTGAAGTTTAAGGAATCATGTCCGATGTCACGCTGAAAATTGGATGCGTGGACTATAGTTCTCCAAACTCCACCATGCTTCATTAATAAATTGTACATATTCAATGATTTTTTTAAAAATAAATACAAGATTCGAACCAAAGTTACTGGAACCCGCAACTGACGTTCCAAAGCTCGGAGGAAGGAAAACAGAGCGGGAAAAGTCTGCTCTTTGGTGTTTTATCTAATGTCTCTACAGTTGAGATGTATCCAAAGTGGAAAGAAGCTCAGAAAGTTGAGACAAACTACACTTCTTTTTATACATAACATTGGTGTATCAGATCAACTCGTGTACACCTTGACTATTCCGCTGAGTACATGCTACCTCCCACCAGGTACTTGGTAACTCTGTCCACTTAGTGTTTTTTGCCTCTTTCGGGGTTTGAACCATGATCTCTAAGGTTTTGCACCCACCATATTGACCACTTGGCGACACTTTTGGTTGCAAGTTGAGACAAACTATACCTAGGACAAGAACTTATATTACATGTTCAATGCTGTGTTTGGGTATGTCAAGTTTAATAGGATGAACCTTGATTACAACAACAACAACAACCCAGTGTAATCCCACAAGTGGGTTCTGGGAAGGATGAACCTTGATCTATGTTGCTCGGACTCTCCGAAAATGTGGCCGGATACGTGTCGGATCCTCCAAAAGTAGTGCATTTTTTAAGGATCCGACACGGGTGCGGCTACATTTTGGAGAGTCCGCGCAACATAGACCTTGATTACTAAATGATTTTTTCATATTTACATAGACGGATAAAGTGAGGGAAAGAGAAGAAAGAGGACGAATAATGAGAGTTTTTAGGAATCGGTTTTGGCTGTAACAATGACAAAATTAGATTTAAGTTTGATTAAAATCCTAATATAGCCTGCATCTGGTCACCAAATTGCCACAGTTCGTGACAGTATATCACTTCCTAATCATAGTGTCAGTCATTTTTTCTCTTCAATTTATTAAAGACCAACCTAGTGCTCATGCTTCCACATTTTCCCCGGAGCCTGCATTTTTTGTATTCAGTAGCGGAATCCATCACTAGAACAGCTTGTCGATGTTGACCACGAAGTCCCACTATTTAGAAAGAAAGAACACACTTGCAATTACTATGTTTAATTCTTTCTCGTTGATTGGAACTGTGTTTTGGAATTATATGTGATTGGAACTGGTTTTCCGAAAGAACTTAATTGTAATTGCATTATAATTCACTGTATTACTGCCCGAAAATGATAAATGGAGAAGAAAACTTGTTTTATGTGACCTTATAGCAGAAAACATGTTTAAGTGCAGAAGATACGTGTAGTTTTTCTTTTTCTTTGGCAGCTGAATAAAATGAGGAATTTGGTTTTGTTAGATTTTTTTGGAAAAGGGTAAAATCCCTTAGAGATAGCTAATAAGCTTTTGATAGAGCAAATTGTGTCAAGGCACTGATCATCAACGGAACCAACATGTTCAATCCGAAACTCACAACAATTGGTCAACCACCAAAACTGTACTCAAAACACATGACATAGAAACCAAAACTACTTGGAGTGGCATTGCCAAAGGTACTGTGTTCATCATCTGTTAGGCGAAGCAAAAGTTTGTATTTGCGTACTTAACATCAATAATCAGATGGACTAATGACATCATCAATCTTTAGAATCATCTTAACAACCCGAGTTGCAAGCAAAATCTGCTGTTGCTTCCCAATCTGTCTTAAAGACATGTTGTTCACGCATGTCATTTGTGCCAACATCATTGCAATCTATTCCACAACAAGGATTGTTTTCCTTAATTTGCTGAGATTTAACAGCATATAGAGTTTCAACGTGTTGGAGACCACTATTCTCAGCAAGTTCCATTGGGATAGAATCCAAAGCATCTGTAAATGCCCTGATAGTATACTGCTCAACTCCTGGGTGTTTATCAGCTGCTGTTTCAACAGCAATTGAGCAAGAGATCTCTGCTGAACCACCACCCATATACAATAGAATTATTGCGGATAAGATTTCTAGCCACACACAAAGCATAATGGATACTACACTATGTCTCCTTTGTTACCACCACCGATAAATAAGGTCAGCCTTAAATTTGCACAATGTTCAATGCATGTCATTCTGTCCTTTATTGTACCAAATGATTTCTCTAGAACCAGACTAGTTCTGTCAAGTCTTTTTAGTTGTCAACTCTTGAAACCTTGGCACAATTCTCCCACCTGAGCAATTGCTATCTGCTCCAACTCCACACCTCCTACCCATCTAACAGCAGGTTGATTTATATGCATCAGTAAGTAGTTTGCTTCATCAAAAAAAAAAACCACTGGTAAATAACTGAAGTGGCACCAGCATCCTTGTAATTCTGAACCATGTCATCAAAGTACTTCTGCTTGTCCTAAAATTTGATTTTTTTCTTACAGTATCAACATCAACCTTATGCTTGGTCTTTGGTTTTGGAGGCTCAAAAGGACAAGTCAAAATGGCAATTTTTGCATCCTCAATTTGCTTTGGCATCTGAGGATGACTCGTATCTTTGCCAACTACAATACCATAAATTAGCTCTCTATCCTATAACTTTCCACCTTTTGCTCAGCTTTGAATAGGTCCAGGCGAACATCCTTCCTTTCTAAATCTGCAACAGCTAGAACTGCTTTGCCAGCAATTTTAGCCATGCAACAGCTTGCATTTGTTCACAATCTTAGATGAAAAAGTAGTCCTGCAGGTTTGAATCAAAGCTCATTCCCTCCAAATTCAAAATTCTGCTCAATTCGCTCCAAATGCTCAATTTATATCCTTGAAGACATTTCATATCCTTCTGTGATTCAAATAGGGTGATTACCACGTTGTAACAACCTCTCTGCTTGTTCTAGAAGTGCCCAGCCATGTCAACAAGACAACTCCAGTAGTTCCATTACCAAATAATCCTGACTTCGTGACAGCTCAACCGTCAACTTCTTAATCTGATTTTCAACATCCATCTGCTCCAAGATGGTTGCACCATCATTTCTGATGGTGACATCACCATTAGGGCTCTGAAGCATCTTGTCCATGCCCTTAGAACCAAGAGAAGTGGGGAGAATGCCAGCTATGACTTTTCCAGCATAAGTGTTGGCCTTTCAAGACCACCCATAAGGGGTACGTTAGCATTTACAAAGCGATGAATATTTCCTTTTCAAAAAGAATTGTTGGCCTTTTGAGCATCAAGGCCACTTAATCTGGTTTTCTGTTCTTCTCCTTGATTATTATGAATGGCCTACCAAATTCATCGAATGCCAACTCCATTGCCCCGCTGCTCTCTCCACCAGATAATGAGATGGCATGGAAACTTTTGCTTTGAAGAAAATATATGAAGACAATGCAATGAATTCCAGAGTGAATCTGTAGTCTGTATAGCAGGTTTCAGAAACCTAAGTTCAGCTCAGTGCTAAACCGTGGATTTCTTTCTTTTTATTCTCTTTGATTTATCCGTAGTTAAATTGTGGCATCCAAAAACAGTGTAAACAGTTGGCATTTTCCAGGAATGTAAGTTAAACATCTTAATGTGATTCCCTCTTGATTTCATTCTTTAAAAAAGTGAATTCCTCTTAATTTATCTCATCCAAACATTTTCCTGGTTTATTTTGTAGGCTATTTATCTTTTTCTGGCCATCCATCTTCTCAAGGTAAAACCCTTTCTTCTGTATGCTTCTCTTACATTTTTATCTACAGAAAGGTATACATGAGACTAATCTAGGATGCTGAATTTCATCCTGCAACATAGATGTTGAACTGAATAATCCAGCGTACCTTCAACTCTCCCATTCAGTAGACGAGAATCTTCTGAAAAATACTACTGAGGTAAGAATACACGTGAACAAAATAATGCTTCAAGAATGCGCACTATTAATTAATTTCTTCTTTATTGCTCATCCCCTTTGTTTTTTACAGATTACTGGTACTGTTAACGATATTTTGCATGATCTTCTCCAACATGGTGATTCAGCCCAGAAATATATGCAGGGGTCAAAAAATGTGAAAGTTGNGGCTTTTTGTTTCCTCGCTTTTGTTTATGGTTTTGTTTTTCAAGAAAGAATCCTTTTTCTCTGATGATTCAGCTAAACAATTGACTTGTATGTCTCTCTGACCTGCAGTATTGGCCTTGCAGGAAAAATCAGTTATCACAATGTCTCCTTAATGCAGACTTACATGGTGCACTAATTCTAGGTAAATAATAAACCCGCTCTCCTTTTAACTCTTTTAGGTAGACCCTTCAAAACTATTTTAAGGAAATGCTATGTTATTAGTCGCTGAATCTGTCCTGTCTTAATGTTTTACAAGGACCTAAACGTTCTTTTGAGCTAAATTACAATAAGCAGTTATCTTTATCTAAAGCCTGAAGAATAGAACTGTCATAGAGAAATTGGGTTCACTGTGTTTAACTCTTGCACACTGGCACATGCACACAGAAAATATAACAACTTCGTTTCTGAAACATTGTGGCACTTATTTCCTGCAGTTGTTCAGTGCAAAATAGCTGGCTTAAGTGGTGTACATGGTATCATGATTCGTGAGACCGTAGAAACATTTGGAATAATCACAGAAGACAACAAATTCCAAGGTTTATATCCTGTTCAATTTTGCATTTTTTTGGTAGCTAGCTATATGAACTTATGACGTAGCAAATATGTCTTTTGCAGTCCACTTTCAGTAGCCCTAATACCGGAATAAAACAAATTATGATTTGCTGCTTCTGTCTTCTCTTTTCTTTAATTTTCTTATGCTGTCTTGGTTGAGTAATTTTTGCTGGGGCTACTCTCTTTGATAAACAAGGAATTAAGCACCAAGTGTGGCAGTTTTTTCAAGTTCTGGAAGTTTTCGTCTCTACTTGTGCCATTCACATTTTAGCTTTACTAGATTGTATGTCAATTTTGAATCCACAGGAAAATCGGCGCCTTAGCGGATTTGCTCTTGTTCTAAAAGAAATATTGTAGGAATAGTCACCCTTCCAGCCTTCCTGACTCTCTTTCTGGGAATCTTACCTCAGCTTAGGCTCATTTGATAAATGCTCTTGTCCAACGTTATCCTTATTTCAGCTACTTAGTTCTTTGACTTCTCATTAAGCTGTGAGTTGTCAACCTGAAACTTTTACTTGATACACCTTGTTGGTAAATTATGTATGTTCTCCAAAATAGTGTTTAGATTAGCTGGTTCTTATTATGTTATAGACAGTTTCAGAGGCTCGCTGACTAAGTCCGTAGTTCCAAAACTTGGATTTTCACATCCTGAAGAGCGTGTCCACTAAAAATCAAAATGGAGCAGTGGTCTTTACTTCATCAGTTATTGTTTTGAATGAATTAGCAATGTCTTAGAAGTAGGCTGTACTGGAATATAAGGACGACAACAACAACAACCACCCAGTATAATCCCGTAAGTGGGGTCTGGGGAGGGTAGGATGTACGCAGCCTTACCCCTACCCTGGAAGGGCAGAGAGTTCCGATAGATCCTCGGCTAAAGAAGGTGAAAGAAGCCCTGATAGCAACAGAGAATATGAAAGAGGTACCGATAACAAGTAATAACAGGATAATATATTAGAAAACTAAATGCAGCAAACGAGAATATGAACGAAGTACTGCTAGCAAACTACGGAATTACCGATGGCAAGTAATAACGGAACAAGACATGCGAATATAGCAAACCAAGGAAAACAGGGTACCGTACTAGCACTAATACTATCGAACTAGAGAAGAGAAAGGGAAACACACAACTACCTACTAACCTTCTATCCTAATCTTCAACCTCCACACCCTTCTATCTAGGGTCATGTCCTCGGTTAGCTCAAGCTGCGCCATGTTCTGCCTGGTCACCTCTCCCCAAGACTTTTTTGGCCTACCTCTACCCCTCCTCTCACCTCCCAAGGCCAACTTCAACATTGTATATGAAAATCTTGAGTTCTTTGCATTTTTGCACAACCTAACATGTATGTAAATTTTTGGTTTGCACCATATCTTCTTAACTTTTAAGATTTGCCCCCCAATGTATTGATCTTCTTGCAAAATCATTAAAACACTCATCAATGAAGGGGTAAAGTAGGAATGCTATAATTTTAATTCCATTTAATTTATCTTTTCCAAACACACTTGATTCTACTCTTTAGAGGTATATATGTCATCTTGTTGGGCATAAAAAGTGTGAATTCTCAGTGCATACACCTCTCTTGAGTTTGTTTGTGCCACCTTTTTTGTTGGAAATTCACTGTGAAAACAAAATTGAAAATAGAAAGACGAGAATAGAAAAGTAGTTGATTAGAGGTTCAGTTTTGTTAAAGAAAGGAGCCAAAACCAAAACTATAGTTATCAGATTCTACAATCATAAGTGTATATTATTAAGCACTGCGGACTACAGACTTAATTGTAAATACATACATTAGTATGCTGTCCTGCTGCTCTAATTTTCACGAGCAGTTATATAAAAACTCACCAGAAGCCGCCGGAAAAAGCATATTAGACAAATTGATTATTTATCTGAAAATCATTTAAGTAGAAAAGCTTTTTATATATAGATAGATATTATAGTATCATACTTGCACCAGTGCTCCTGAGGAAACAAAACTGCCAATATTAGAGACACTCATAAGAACTGGGTGTGTTTGGCAAAAATTAACTAATGTAATCAAAATTCTATTCCTTATCAATACAAACATAATAAAAAAAGTTAACAACAACAACATACCCAGTATAATCCCACTGGGATCTGGGGAGGATAGTGTGTACGCAGACCTTACCCCTACCTTGTGGAGATAGAGAAGCTATTTCCAATAGACCTTCGGCTCAGGAAAGCATAAGTAGTAATCAAAAAAATTCCTCAAAACGAAAAATGTGATCAAAATTCTATTATTACTACTATTTTGTCCCTTTGCAAATGAGTTGTTACATGACTTGTAGAAAGATTAATATATTAGGGGGCAAATCAAGGGTAGGTTGCAAATAAAATAATGATGTATGCATGAGGAGCTCAAAATGCAAAGAGCTCGAAATTCTTTAACCAAGCTAAGAAAAAACTATTTTTGTTTCCCTTTTCTATGTATACCAAGAGGAGAAGGGGGTGGTGCAAGAGTGCAGAAGTCCGGTTCTTGTTAATACTCCCTCCTTCTCAAAAAGATTGGCACTATTTTCTTATTAGTTTTGTCCACTTTCTTCACCCCCTCTATCAAAATGATCAAAAAGGAAGGCGAGCTGATTGACACCTTTCAATATTTCCTTAATAAGAAAGTTTTACGGCCACACAAATGCTATGCCTTATTTATGACCACATATCTCAAAAGTCTTCCTTTCTTTATTAAAGTTTGTGTCAAGTCAAACTAAGACAATCTTTTTGAAACGGAGGGAGTACTTGTTTTCCACTGCTTTTCTTATCCAATTGCTTATCTGAACTGCAGTTGTACCAAAAAAGCTTTCTGTATTTATGCTGCAAGTGGACTGCTGGAAAGTTACATTGCTCGGAGACAAACTCAGTTCAAGAAACATGATTACATGATATTGTTAAGATGGATATTTATCATATGGAAAATGTCTTAGCATTGCTTCAGGTGGGAGTGGCTACATCCACAACTACATCTTTTAGAAGACTGAAAAAGCAATATGGAGTACGACGTTGATGCGGATTAACTCCTATGGCAGAACATAAACCGAGTTACTACATCTTTAAGAAGACTGGTAGTCTTCCCGAAGGGTTAACCAAGTTTGACTGGATTTGACCAGAAACATATATGCATGTCCCTTTAGTGTACTATGAGACTCCAAATTAAATTGCCTTAGAATAGAATATAATAGATAATGTATAATTCAACAACAACAATATACCTAGTATTATCCCATACCCAGACCCTACGGTGTGAAACTAATAAAGGTTGAATGTCCTTCCATGTGGCATTCTTGCATGAGAAATTGAAGATAAGCGTTGTACACTTGTCATACTCTAGGCTTCTCTTTTTACCTATAAATAAGCCTTCAAAATAGCCATCAAGTATCAACACATTTTGCTATGCCTCTTTCGTTCCTCTCAGCTTCCTTTTCTTTCCTCCTTAAAACATTTGTAGTCTACTTTGTTTGTTCCCTCTTTTAAATAGTTGGGTTTGTAATTCAATATTTTGCTGATTCCTGTATCCTCCCAAATGGAGATGAGCTAGTTTAATCCTGGGGAAACATTTCACATTGCTGAAATAGTTTCTTAGGACAGTGCCCAGTACGACTCAAGCCAATTAGTGTATCTGCTCACAAATAATATTATTGCAGTATTATTATTGTTATTTTTCGGTGTCATTTCCCTATAATAAGGTCAGTAGTATTTAACTTTTTGGAAGGGTAGCCTTGTCGTAACCGGTAAAGTTGTTGTCATGTGACCAGGAGGTCACGAGTTCGAGCCGTGAAAACAGAATATTGCAGAAATGTATGTAAGGTAAGGTTGCGTACAATAGACCCTTATAGTCCGGCCTTTTCCCCGACACTGCGCATAGCGAGAACTTAATGCACCGGGCTGCCCTTTTTCAGTATTTGACTTTTTGAAACCAAAGTTCTGATATTAGAGAAAGCTATCATATATATATATATATATATATGATCGTACTCATTTTGTTTTATTAATTGAAATCCTAGGTCAAGATTTCTCCTGTGGTCAATGGTGCTGGAGTTGGGAAAGAGATTATAAAATACAGTTTGCTAAATTGTGTTGTTCTTTGTAGTAGGTAATAATTGTATTAAAATGCCACTAAGGGGTTTGCTTGATGTTGCTTCTTCCTTTTATCTTTCTTGAGCCGAGCTCTACCGAAAGCAATCCCTTTGTCTTTCTATAGGTAGGGGTAAGGTCTGTATACACTTTACCCAGTGGCAAAGTCGGGAATTTCCTCAAGGGTATTCAAACTTGAAATAAGTAAAAAAAATTCCGACAAAGGATGTTCAATATATGTTATGTACCTTTAAAACCTATTATTTTACCAATATACGCAGTGTAATTTTTCGATAAAGGGTGGTCAATTGACCACCCTAACTATAGTGTGGCTTCGCCCCCGACTCTATCTTTTCTGAACCCCACTTGTGAAATTTCACTGGGTTTCTTCTTGTTGTAAAATGCCACTAAGAAAGTGCAACAGAAGTATGTACATTATTAGCCATGAACTATGAGCTACAGGTTGCATCCTTTTCCTATTCTTGTAGGGCATCGACAAAATCTAACACACTTTCAGCATCAATTGCATATTTTTCTTTACACCAAAATGATAATGTCAAAAGTACGTAATTCATTTTGACCCTTATTAGTGGAGAGTCTTTCTCGTCTTCAAAGCATCTTGAATTCCTTCTTTTCAATATCCACACAAAGAACTAATCTGGCAATGTATAAACAAATGAGTAATGGTTTCTAATCTTTCTCCGCACAAGTAACATCTTGCACAAGGACGGATGTAGAGTTACTTCGTCGGATTTATCTGAATCCAATAGTTTTGGTGTAGAACATAAATGTATGTGTAAAAATTTACTAAAATTGCCACAAATAGTAGATCTGAAACGCATAAGTTTAAAAATATAATGAGTTCAATACTAAGAACATTTAAAAATTGAATTCATAAAGTTTAAATTTTAAATTCGCCCCTGATCTTGCACATTGTTGAAAACCTCTTAAGATCCCACTGGAAAAAGGTTTTTGTACAGGGTTCCAGGATAGCGAAAAATTCAGCCACTCTTCCTAGCTCCCAATCATTTGAATTTCTTCAGAGCTTATTGTATAGTGCTATCCTCTCTTTTCTTTCAAAAGATTTGGCTTCTTGACGTCCTTAGAAGTGTAACTGGGACCGGGTTCAACTGAAGCTATTCTTTTAGATTCGTACTATAGATATAAATCGGAAAACCACTTAAAGAAGAGTAAATATTACTTTGCGTGCTCAAAATTTTATAATAGTAGGAAGTTTAATGTCAAGAGCATGAATTCTAGATTTGCAATATAAATTGTAAGATATGTATTACAAGCATAATGATATCCTCTCTTTTTTTAAATAAGATTTGGCTTCTCAACGTCCTTAGATGAGTAACTAGTCCAGATTCAACTGAACCCATTCTTTTACGTTCGAAGATAGATATAAATTGGAAAACCACTAAAATTAAAGAAGAATAAATATATTGCATCGTGAACTCATAATTTTATAATAGTAAGTTTAGTGTCAAGAGATTGACACACTGAGTTGTATAAAATCATAGAACTTATGAAAGAAAAGAACAAAGACAACAATAAGAACAAATTCAGTGTAATCCTACCAGTAGGGTTTGGGGAGAGTAGTGTATAAGTAGACCCGAAAAGAACAATCATTGGAAAAAACTTTGGCTTAAACTGTGGCATACTTTTGTTCTACTAAGATAAGCTATATATGATAACAAAGCAAGGCAATATAGCCCTTGGATTCAAAATATTAACCTCTTTAGTACCATCAAACTGATTCCTCTTTACTTTAATTGAATTCAACTCTCCTTTGTTTTCTCCTCTGCAGGATGCAATCACTCTTGAAACTATAATAGCATTCTTTGAAACTCCATGATCTCCAAATTGCTTAACAATTTTTCTATGTGCACTCCAACTACTAGTAGATAATGATTCAGGCCAATTAGTTTTCTCATTTCCATAATTTTGGCCTATGATTTTGCATAAACCACAACTTTTCTTGCTACAAATTCTTGGACACTTATGAACACCTAACGAACAAGTAATCGTTGCACCATGGTAGAAAACTCTCTCTGCTTGTCTTTTACTAGACGATCTCGTGGATCTTGAATTTACCATCTTCTTGCATTCTTCAAAACTTTCACAAACCTTCTCACTATGATTCACTTTCAAGATTTTTTCAATTGTATATCCCACTCCACGCTTCCATCCGGAACGAAAAATAGCTTCCACAATGGTTTTTGAAGGTTTCCCTTCAACGATCTCTTCTAAAAGCTTAAGTGGTTTGTGCACGTTCAATTTTGGAGAATCACAAAGGTTAGTACAAGAGTTGAAAACTAATACCTTTCTTGATTTTGATATCCCTTTGTTTTCAAGTGGATTTGAACTAGTTTTTTGAGGAGGAGAAGAAGGATTCTTTTCTTTTTTAGGAGAAGTGGAATTTCCCTTTGGTTTGAAACATCTAATAGTAGAACTTGGGTGACAAACAAGAATTGCTAGAGAAGTCATTAAGAGACATTTTTCAGCCATTTTTAAGTCTCTTTTGGTAATGAGATGATGGTCAAAGTTTGTCACACATTCTTATTTCAAAAGGGCTAAGAAAATCTCCATATTAATTATCAAAATCCAGAAAAATCTTTAATATTATATTCTTTAGAACTTTATAATATGAAGATTCAGAACTTATGAGAGGTGTAAATTTCAGATTTGGAAATGATTTTACCTTGCTAAGATTCTTTTTAAAAAAAAAAAATTATGATGAGAATATAACCATTTACCTTTATTAACGTAGTTTACAAAAGAATATACCTTGTTTGCCTAGGAAAAAATAAGGAAACTTAAGGGCCAATTGAAAGGCTCAATCAAATCCAGAGATTATGATCCGAAACATAGGGATTCTAATTAGTTAGATTTTATTCTGATTTTTTATCATTAAATAAATAAAACAATTAGGGGCCATTTGGTTGGAGGGATTAAGTGAATTATCCCGGTATAAAACTTGAGATTAAATCTATCATGTGTTTGGTTGAGACTTGAGAATATTAGCTAAAACCATGATAAATTTTATACCACAATCATGGGATTATCTATCGTGGTTATAATCTCAGGATAACCTTGATTATGTCTTTTTATACATCAAAACAAACGTACCCTGAGAGTTAAAAGTGAAAGTTAAATTGATCTTTTTAGACCTATGCAACCGTTCACTTATCACTGATCGAAACACATGCTTTTGAAAATATTACTCGTATCTAATGTTAATATCAAACTAATAAATGCGTTGTATTTTTTTCCACATAAACATCTTATCACTTAATTCATGTTCACTTAATGTGAATTTTCATTTCAATTATCACTGTCACACCTCCTTTTTCATACACCCCGGGAGGGTATAAAGGAGTTTTTCCAATTAAAGGATAATCAAAACGGGATTTATTATTAAAAGGTTCAGAGCCGCCACTTGGGAGATTTATGGTGTCCCAAGTCACCAGTTGAATCCCGAATTGAGGAAAAGCTTGACTCTGTTTAACAGTCCGCGAACCAGAAATTCGAGTAAGGAATTCTGTTAACCCGGGAGAAGGTGTTAGACATTCCCGAGTTCCGTTGTTCTAGCACGGTCGCTCAACTGTTATATTCGGCTTAATTATCTGATTTTAAACAATTATGAACCTATGTGCAAATTTTAGTTTTTTATCCGCTTTTATTCATTTTTTAGAGAAAATTGCAACGTCATTAAAATACGTCTCAAACCACGTCACATAAATGCACCCGTGATCTTTGACATATTTTAACATCGTTGTGATTTGGATTTGAGTCACATAAATGCGCACCCGAATTTAGGAAAGTAATATTATTAAACTAACGCGCCTAAAGCAATTACGAATTTGCAACTTTGCGAGGGCCATGAAAGTTCGCTAAATGGCACGCCTCGATTTCTAAAGATAAACAAAATTAATTAAACGAGGGCCATGTAGTTGTCATTTTTGTTCGGCACGGCGCGCCTCGATTTATTATAAAAATAATACTTAATTAAACGGGCCTAAGATGTTTGAGCCTATTTTAAATTAAGACTCAAATTGCTTTTGATTGTCATAAACCCAAGTGAGATCAGCAGGTGTTTTAATTACATGAAGAGGTTTGGGTCAATGCAACTATTAATTAAGAGCTGGTTCGATTAAAAAGAGCATAAGCTTAGCATATACAAGGCCCTGCTCGTGAAAGGACCTTAGACTAGGGCCTGGGGAGAGCCCAAGTTTTCTCACGAACTGACTCGACATCGAGTCTAGATGGAGCCTCATCAACTAAATTCGAGTAAGGAAATTGGACTCCAAATGACCATTACAGAATCACGAAGAACGAATCTATTGAGTCAACATCGTGAACAAACAAACCATTAACATTCTCGAAATAGCCAAATATATAAAGTTCAGGCCCTTATCAATTGAATCTGTCAAGCTGTTATTACAATTCTTAAGCAGATTATTCGAATCTACACTAACATGATTCCCCAAACTCAGCACACGTATACTAACATATATTTCACTTTATCTCATTTTCCTTGCCTTAAATCATCATTCCCAAACAACTTCAAACCAGCAGTTGATTTTCAAAATAAAACATTCAACTAATACTCATATCATACAGCTTAATCTATCAAATAGTAACATGAAATCCTGGACATATCATTAGCGCTCAATATTCAAATGGTCTGCAAAGGCATAAGGGATCTAACACCATACGCTTAACTAACACTGCTTAATCACAAAATTTAGCTAATGATCAATATTTTTATCAAGTTCCATTTCTCAACAGTCTAAGACCAGCTATAATAGTAAGAATTTCAAAAGCAAGCAACATTTAACTACAAGGGCTTTACTAACTCCAAACAGATGCAAGCTGACTAAGAGTTCTCATGTTGAACATATAATGCATCAATTAACTCCAAAAAGACTGAAACTGAACTAAAAGGAACTGAATATGTAGAAGCCATATTTAGAACTCCAGATTTCATTTCACTTCAATATCAAGCCTCATGTGAGGTGAGTCTAGAAACATGTACCTGGAATATGAAATAAAAGAAAGCAAGACGAGGTCAGTAGCTAAGCAGCAAAGTAGCAAAACCCAGCAACCAGGAATAACCAATAAAACCAAACTCGAACCCAAGAATGAGGTGCAACAGTCCAGAAAACAATTTCAATTGAACAGTGACCTCAACAACTTCAAATCAAACTTCCACAAACCCAAGTTCAATCCATTTTAACCCCCAAATGATTCAAGAATTACTTCAGAGACTAAATTGTAACCAATAAATGCAGAAGAGAATTAATGAAACAATGATATTTTAGTATTTCCAGTCGTTTTCAATTTTTTTCTGATTTTTCTCTTCAATCCCCTCCTTGAAAGGCAAGAAAACCATGCCTTTATAGGCAAGGAAGTAGGGCAGCTTAAAGAAAATCAGATTTGCAATTAGACCATTTTTATGTTTTTATTTTTGCCTAGATATCCCTATTTAGTTTTCAAAGTTTCAAAACAATCCCCAAGTCAGCTTCTAAGAAGCTTACTAATCAGTTATACAAAGATTCCCCTAAGAAAATACCCAAAATTACCCCTATACCCCTGTTATTTACACTCAGCAACTCATAGGTCAAGCTGACCCAAAGGCCTGATTTGATATGGGTTAATAACCTAGGTTCAGTTCCTTCTTGGCTTCTGATTCCTCAGAGTCCAATTAAAATCAAACGATGACTCCAATTTTGAGAAACTGGCCGAAACTTTCCTTAAACAAAGAAGCCTGGAAACATTTGTTTAAAAACAGCCGAAACCAAAAGCAAATTGAATGAACTAACCAGTACAATTTCATGACAACAACTTAATTAAATCATGGGCCTAATTTCATTGACTAAGTGATTAAACTGATGATGAAACCATAATTATGCTATTATTACAAAAACTCAGACAAACAAGACAGGGCGGACTAAAGAAATAAGATAATCAAGCTTCACAACGACAAAGAGGAAAACGGAACAAGAAATGGAACCAATTTGAACTCGGAAAAAACCTCAAACAAACTTCGACCAAACCAAAAGAGAAGGGATGAGGAGGAAGATGAAACAGTGAAAGAAGATAAAATACAAGGAGGAGGCACTTACCGAATCAAAGCTCGAAACCTAATTGATACTGATTTAAACGAAAAGTGATGTTACCTAGTTGTTCTTCGTAAAAAACAAGTGAACAACAACACTTTCGTGTTTAATCAACCTTCAACCTTCAGAAAAACAAGGGCAAGTAGCCATGCAAGCCACGGAATCAAAGATTGAACCATTTTGACTTCTTGGGGCTTCGAGCTCTATCCTTAGATTCAAGATTCGACGGATTTGGGAGGGATTCGAGGGATATAGGTTAGGGATTTGGAAAGAGGGGGTCATGGGAGTTTCAGGGTGTTAGTTTGGGGGCGGTTCGGGGTGGCGCCGCCAGGCAGATGCGGTGGAAAAAGAGGCGACTCTAGGGTTTGAGTTCGGCTCTCTGAAGATAGGGCGAGAAAGATGAGATGAAAAGGGGGGGAAGGCGTTTGGACAATAATATACCTACGAATCCCCACTTCTCAACTGTTTGATCTCACAACCTCGACGGCTGAGATCATAACTAACCTAAACGGGGTCGTTTGGGTTGGGATGGGGCTGGACTGGGTAAGAATTGTGTTTGGGCTGGGTTCACACGGGTTCTGGTGGGAAATCTCTTGGGCTGGGGGAAACTTATAATGCTTGGCCCAGAACTGAATTCTTTCTTTTCCATTCTTATTTCTATTTTAATTCCTTTTCTCTCTTTTTTCGAAATTAAACTAAAAATCAAAGTTAAATCCTAAAACCGAATTAACCTATCAAAACACTAATTAAACCTAGATAATAATTATCACAATTAATTAAAAACTAAACTTATAGGAAAAATACCAAAATCAAAAGCTAAAGTTAAAAATGTGCAAAATATACTATTTTTGTGATTGATTTTTTTTTTCATTTTTATAAAATAACTAATTTACCACCTAATGTAAAATTAAATCCTTTATGCAAATGTAACATATTTTTGTATTTTTTTATTAATTAAATAAAATTGCACAGACAAATGCAAAGAATTATCAGAAAATGCCACAAAAGTGCAAATAATGAAAAGAAATTATTTTGTTTTGAAATTATGGAGGTAATTCATATAGGGCAAAAATCACGTGCTCACAGCTGCCCCTCTTTGCCCGGAAACACGAAGAGTTTTCGTGCAAAGATAAAGTGAGCGAATACGAGCGATTTTTGCCCGTTTGAATACTCTGTGGGAAGCATTTTTGAATGATTTGACCACACCCTACTTCCGAGGTTGCCTACATATCCTTGGCTATAAAGGAATCAGGTTAGTGTAGTTTGGGAAGTTCCGGTAGCTGGGACTATCATAAAACTGTGATTTCACTGTTGCTGCTGCTGCTACTACTGCTTACTGAAACCCTCATTACACCAGGATAAAAGAAGATAGACTAGACTATGATC